TCATTCTTAGATACTTTTTTTATCTCAAATTAAAGTAGTTTTTAGATAAAAAAAAACAAGTCTTTAGCAATCTTCAAATTTTAATACCTAAGACCTTTCTTCCTTTTCTGATGACAATATAAAATTAAACATCTGTCAAAATGTTATTCCTATGATATTGATACAGCAATCAGTGAATTCAAATTGTGGTATAAATACTACGTTTGGTTATTTTACCTGAGCATGCTATTGATGCAATCAATCGGTGTAAGGAAACCTTGGCTCAATTTCCAAATATTTTGAAGTTGTTTAATATTCTTGCATGTTTACCTATTACAACATGTACGAATGAAAGGACCTTTTCCAATTCGAGAAGGTTGGAAACTTATTTATGAAATACTATTTCAGAATCTCGGCTAAATGGTTAGCTCTGTAATATCCACAGAGATTTGATTCCAAACGAAATTCTTGATGAATTGACAAATTTTCCATGAAAATTAAAAATCACATTTATGGTATTTAATAAATTTTTTGTATAATATTGTATTTAAGAATAAAAACTTGTTTTTTAAATTATTTTCTAGTCAAATACACCCAACAGAGTATTTTCAATAAAAAAATTTATTTCTACTTATATTGTATGAGAATTTAAGCTGAAGCTAGTTTTTAAAGCAAATTTTATAAAAAAACTGACACAATTTAATTTTACAAAAAATTTTTTTATTAAATATAATATATCAAACTTAAAAAAATATTAATATAACCTTCCTTTAATGCTACATTTTAACATTAAAAAAAATCTTCTATTGCTCACCTATAAAAACTTAAATAAAATAATCACTGAGATTGTTTAATTAAAATGTTATTTTTTGATATTTATTGAAATTTTATAATATAAAATACAAAAATTACAAAATATTTTATAACTGGGGGAGGGACATATTTTTCCCACTTTGTTGTGAAAAGAAAAATCAATTTCTTTTAGCGTTAATACATAGCGAAACTTTACAAATAGAACATTCCCAGGATGTCCTAATATATTTTCCCAAGGGATTCCGAATCACTAGCAAGAATTTTTAAAGAAATATGATCCGATCCCTTTTTTTGTATCATCAGCGACATATTTTTTATGAAATTTTGAAGGAGTCGATATTGGATTGCTTTGCAAGGATGATGATATACCCAAGTCAAGAATCTTTTGAGATAGAAGATTTTAGATAATTTTTAATCGAAATAGAGACCTCTTATATAATCACCAGAGCCGTTATCTGATATAAAACTTGGTAGGGGTATTGTAATTTCCCTCCAATTTAATTCAATTAGGTTGTCCTCGACTTCCTTTGAGTATATTTTAAAAGAAAATCAGAATAAGTTGAACATATATCAGACAAGTAAATTTTTTTGAAAATTTTTTTAAAATTATTATATTCTTAAAATATAAATGTAAAATTTTATTTACATCGAAGGCAGGAGAGGCAAGACTGATATTATTTAAAATTCATTTTAAAATCTTTATTCTTCTATATATTTCACTACTAAAAATTTTACAACTATATATATTATTATTTTAATACTATTTACATATATACAATTTACAATTTGTTTTAAGGTTACTTTAAGAAAAGTTACAATTTACAATTTGTTTTAAGGTTACTTTAAGAAAAGTTACAATTTACAATTTGTTTTAAGGTTACTTTAAGAAAAGTTATTTTAACGTTTTACATATACAAATACGATATCTTTTTTTAAAGGTCGCACAAAATATATTTCACAAAAAGAAAAAAAGATCATTAAATAAATTTAAAAGTAATTAAGAAAATATAAATTTCAAAGGTTATTAAAATATGCAAAATTTATATATAAGCATTATTGGACAGTGGGACATAAAATGACCGGATACATTTTTTGTAACTGCCAAAAAAATAAATGATCATTTTTAAAAATATTGATATTTATGAAAAATATATAGAATATTTAAATGTTTCTTATCATTTTTTATTTATCAAATGTACCAGAATTTTGCTAAATTATATTTAAAAATTTTATAAAAATTATTTTGCATAAAATAATATAAAAAGGCGGGATTGATAAAATACGAAACTTTTTGCGCGCGCAAATATTTAAATAAACATAAATTATATAATTTTTTAAATGGGATAAATTTATACCATCTGTGTATTAAATAAAATAAAAAAATCAAGCCGGTCCCACCATGTATCAAAGGTCCTTTTTTAGGTGGGACAAATTTCAACCAGTAAAGGGTTAAATATTCATAAGCGCGAATTAGTAAATAAAAGATAAAAATATTAATTTAATTATTATTGAATTATGAATTAAACATAGGGCGAACCCCCCCCCCCCATATGAAATGCCACTGATGAATAGGTTTTAATATTTAGGAATAATTTCAAATGTGTACGAATAATATTGATAAATTTTAAATAATATGAAAAAATCAAATTATACGAATAATTTCAAATAATTGGTATTCGTAAGATAGAATCAAATAAAGAATAATTCGTTTTAGGGATAGATGCAGCTATATTGTATGCTAATTTTCATCTCTTAGCAATTACCTCCAACAGCACGCCAACCTTCGTTATACAGTATCGGATACAACTGGCCGGTTAAAAGCATATTCTAGTATAAAAATAATTTATCGCTATGCAATAACTAGCCGGCTGGGTGGCATTATAATCGAACCTAATAATTGTCAAAGGCGCAGTAGTTGATTCTAAAGCTAGAAACCCACTTCACAGCCTGTTCAGAAAATACAAATATATAAGATATTATAAAATCAATAAATAATTCAAATGTCTTGATCAATGGGCAATTTTTTTTAAAAAAATATACAGATAAAAATACTCTTTAAATATAAGTATGAAAGAGATAGATTTTAAATAAAGTTCAATAAGATAACTTGATAAAAAATTTGAAAAATGTATCTAGGTACAGATACGTTAAAAAGTTACTTTTAAAAAAATTGACCTAATGTGAAACCTTATATTTTCGACATTGTGTTAAAAAATTAAGAAAGACATAATGCTAAACAAAACACTATTTTTTATAATCATTTCATTAATATATTTTCATATAGGGTGTATAAATGTAATGTAATATATTACATTTATGATTATATATTTAAAATTTTTTTTTTATAAAAGTAATACAGAGAGAGGTCTTGCATTGAGCAGGTTTTTAGCCCACCCATCAAAGTGGACAAGCGGGTTAAAAAAATTTAAAGAGCGGGGAGGCGGATGGAGGTTAAGAAAAATTTTAAACTATGAATGGAGGGGGTGGGGTAGGCGGGTTAAAAGATTTGCAACTTTTATTTGCTATTTTAAATCATTAGGTAAACATAAAAAAAATATGCTCCCTGAAATTTGAACATTTCTATTACCAAAATATCGATTACTGAGGATGTTGTCGTCGGAAAGAAATTAATTGGGTAAAACGAAAACATGTTGGATTTGATTTGCATTGAAGAATATAACATCAGTGGTCTGATTCTACCCGTTTCCCCAAAAGCACAAAGATTATTAAATTATAAATGCAATGTTAAAATAGATAGCACCCACGTCAAATTAAACAGACGGGGAGGATGTGGCTGCCACAGAAGAGAGCATTACCTAATGATATAACAAAATATTTAAATTTTAAAGTAATGCGTTTTTGTATAATTTAGCAAGATTTTAGGCTACTAAGTTTAAGTTTATAATTTATAAACAATTATTTTAAATTACTATTTTAAAATTTATTAATGATTTTACTTTTAATTTAATTATCTCACTTTGATAGAGGATATACTTCAAACGAATATCCTACTTTGATGGAAACGACAAGATAAAGATTTATCAAAGCTATCAAAATTAACCATAAAAATGCTGGCAATTCTCGCCAGTCTTCTGGATGAGGAATTAGTTTTGCTGAAAAGCTTTTGGTATTAATAAATATTAATTTTTGTTATTTCATAAATATTTTATTAGATCAAATAAATTATTTATCAGTAAAATTGAATATTTATTTTATGCTTTATAGAAATTTCCTAAATGATAAAACATTTTTGTAGGGGTGTAGCACTGAAACTAAATCTTATTATTAGATGCTTAAAAAATTAAAAGAATGAGCTTTTTAAATTTTATATAGGTGGCGTAGGTTAGATTTTATTTATAATGGGCGAACGGGCGAATTTTAGACATAAGGGTGGGTGGGTATATTTTTTTTAAAACTACTGGCAGGTTAAAATTTTTTAAATTAGGACGGGAGGGTGCAGACTTCTAAGGTACCTTAAGTAAAATAAAAATTTATAAATAATCATTATTTTTTATTATAATTGGTAATTGGTTAGGAAGTATCCTTGAACAAAAATAACCCGACCTCATCCACATTTTTCTTTTCTTTTAGCAACCTTTTTTCTTTTTTGGTTTTTCTTCCTATAAAAAAATATATAATATGGATAAAACGATATCATTTTATTTTACATTAGCAAAACGAAGCGAGAATTTTATTTTTTGTTTTATATTTTTTTTATTAGGCTCCTTTTTCTTATATTTTATTTTAAAAAAATTTGTAGATCGATGATTAATGATCTCTTTTTCATGTAAATCTAATATCTTCTAAAAAAGAATTAAGTTTTCGTCTCCATGTTCTCGCCTCACCCCCCCCCCCCCACCTACCCTATTGCCTTTATTTATTTTATTTTTTTATTATAAATATTAAAATATTAAATAAAAATGTTAATGAATGAATTAGCTTAATTTTTTTTTAAATATATTGAAATTTTTTCTTAACAACTTCTTTTTTTATAAAAAAAACTCCTATTAATCACTTTTCTTCCCTCGATTTTAATTTTTTTTATATTATTATTATTTTACTAAAATTTAAATAAGAACTATTAAGAAAACTCCAAATTGTTTTTTAAAAATTATTTTTCAAACCAAAAATATTTAAAAAATATATTTTTTTTTTAGTATATTTATTTTTTTGCCAAAAAATATAAAATAATTATTTTCATGGAAGTAATGGTCGATATTGATTATAAATTCCATTCAACGCTAATCGGGAAAAATGGACAACAGATCATGAAAATTATGGAAAAATCAGGCACTCTCATCCATTTTCCGGACGTGAATAAATCCTCAAACATTAAATCCAATACAGTAATTAATATTCTCATAATATTTTTTTATCTACTTTAATTTAATTCTAAGACTTTCTTAAAAAAAAAAAGATTAATTTATATGATTTGTTTTTTTTAAATTAAATAATTTAAAATTTTGATATAATTCTTAAAAAGGTTGCTATCAAAGGCAGATCTGCCGATGCTATTTTGGACGTGATTGATCATTTAAGATCATTGCAACCGTTGCAAATGATCATTTCGATAGAGTGGGATGTGACTTCGAGTCACATCGATTTCTGGGTCACTTTAAACAAGGTTAAATATTTTTTATAATTTAGATAATAATTCAATATAAAGCTGAAAGATGAATCACTCTTAAATTTTACTCATCATCTACTTAATAACAACATCGTAATGGTAAATCTTAAATTCCAAGCTAGAAACTTTGGCAAAATATTTTCAAAACTAGTTGATAATTCAACTTATTCCTCGGTAAATTTAATAAAAAAAATATATTTATAACTTAATTTTTTTTAAAGTTAAAACCTTTACGATTTCAAATAACCACTAACGTCAATGTGGACACGTGTTTAAGCGATAAAGATTTATATTTGATGGAGAATTTTGAAATCGAGGATGTATCATCGGACGATGATGTCGTGGGGTTAAATATTAAGAAAGTGACCATTACCGGCTTTCTACACAAGGCACCTTTGGCACTTAAGTATTTGAGGGTAATCTGAACCAACTAAAATTTTAAATATTTAAATTCAAAAAAAAATAATAGGGAAATCTCGTAATAGAAGTATATTTATCATTGGATTTTCCCAAATTGCAGGTCTTGAAAAAGGTTATCAGCAAGTTGCCAATACCGTTGAAATTCGCTATCACATTTCAAGAAACATTATATAAAGTTATAATTTTTTTTAATATTAATTATAATTTTGCAACTTACAAATTTTTAATTAATTTAGACAAATGTTTGCTTGAGAACCCTCGAGAAAAATAGGAATGCTTTACTCATCTTTTGCGAAGTTATTCTAAATTTTTTCGATCTTTTAAACAAACGACTCATTGAAATTGTTTATGCCGCCCAACAACATCTACTATAATAAAATGTTTTTGTAACGGAATAGGATATTATTTTAATTTATATTTTTTTATTATGTGATCTCAAAGAAAATACTAAATAATATAATTAATAGTTTATAAATAATTTATTGATACACATATGTTTTTTTTTTTAAAAAAATCGGATTTATTATAATTATATTTCAAATTGACATTTTTATTATTTTTTACAACTAAGTTTTATATAACAAACTATTATTTTTTATAGAATCATAGTCATATTATATTATATATATTGAATAACATAGTTTTATAGAAAATATAGAGTAATGGTATAGTAAATAATAAAGTCAAATATTTTATATATTTAATGTCAATTTTATTATTTCCAATCAACCTTTTCAAAGAAAGGAAATTCATATTTTAAAAAAAATCTACTGGGCTTGCGCCCGCTACTTTAACATGTTATTGCCATCAGTTAAGTGCCTCGGCCTCGCATAGACTTAGAATGATTCAAAACGTTTTGAATTTATATGTTTGGCTCATTTTGCGACGATTTTTAAAAATGGCTAACTCAATATTTAATATTATGCAAGCCTAAAGATTTTCTCATAGTTGACACAAATGTTTGAACATCTATTAACGAAATCTATAGGCTTGTTAGCCATTTTTAAAAATCGGCTCAAATCGAGCCGTTTAACCACTAGTTCCACTCCAGATATTGTTAAAATAAATTATCATAAAATGTTAATATTATACATGATTTTTATGATAAACAATTTTATTGATTAAGAACCTTGATTGTATAAAAGTACTATGACGCATTATCACTCCTAATCTCGAATTGGAAATGATTTGTATGAACTGAGGATGAGCCAAGCTTATTCTATATCTTATTCACAAAGGAGATTAAAGATTGGGCCCATGGAACTTTCACTTATAATAATATAATACATTCTTTATGAATTATTGATTTAAATTTCCTGGGCAAAAATACCAACGGGGAATAGGACACCCATAAAAAAGGCAATTTTTCCTCTAAGAGCATTTAATTTTTTTTTTTTGAAAATTGGGGTATATTTTTGTCCAAGACATTTATGTCAGTAATTCCTTTCTTATATAGTCAAATAAAATTTAAATGAATTACAGAATTTATAAGCGTATAAATTATTTTAAAAAATGATCGTTTTCTTAAGCCTGGAAAGGGATAGAATCTAATTTCGCTCGATAGTGAGCAATATGTAAGATCTTTACCAATTACAGTAATTAGGACGACCAACCCCATATAAATTTCTTCCGCCATAACCCCCATAATAGTAATACCTGTTACTTCGGTTATTGTCATCATAATACCTACTACCTCCGTAATACCTACCACCTCTGTAATAACCTCCTCTACCCCCATAATAACTTCTACCTCTGGAATAACCTCCTCTACCGCCACCATATCCTCTACCACGTCCTACACTGCCTCCGCGTCCTCCACCGCGGCTACCTCCGCCACCGCGACCTCTACCGCGACCGCGTTGCCTTTTTTCGCGAATCAATTTGACTCCTTCCAGACCCGTCGATTCGATTGTCCCAACATTTCTCGTACTAATAGCCACCGCTCTCTTTGTTCTAATTAATTTTATATATATTTAAATATCATAAATTTATAATATTTTGCATTTTATACTAATGATCTGCATCGGGCCTAATTTTTCAAACCCGGCCTTAGTTAAGAAAAACATTTAAATGTTTATAAAATAACCAAAAATCGGTTATTTTTTTTATAAATGATTGTGAAAATAAGGGAAAAAAATTATGCGAATTAATAAAGGTAGGTGTTCTTTCGGGTTGGTGTCTAGAGTCGGATTGGATTTTACAATTGGTCTTGGGTTCGGGCTAGACAAAAATGATATTTTTATAATCAAATTAATTACTCGATCAACTTTAATTCTTAGTAATTTGTGAACAATTATTTTCCAAAGTGGGTGATTTGATAAAAAAATAAAGCGCCATCAAACAAGATCATACAAAGGATAATGTGCATTGGGTAGGGTTGTTCATCTTTTGGCGAAATCTGGAGATTTTTTGACTAAAATATTGATTTAACTATTTTTAAAAATGGCCAAACCGAGGTGATTCTTAATGAAATATCTTGCACAAATTTTTAATTTAAAAATCATTTTTCATTTTTATGAAGAAAAATCAGTAATCAAAATCAAACAGTATTTTCAATATTCTTCAACCCCGCAAAATATTTATAAAATTTTAGACCCTTCCAGGGATCTTCTGCGTATAGAATAATTCCAGGTCTTAGCATCTTGGAAAATATAATTTCATAAAAAAAACACTAGATACGTAATTTCATTTTTATATATTTCATTCAGTTGTATTTTTTTTTATTTGGTTCTACAAGACAAGACGGTTTTGATAATAATTTATAAAACAATTTTATATAGAAAAATATTAATCATCAAAAATGATTAACTAAATTTTTAATAAAGTGCCTATAAAATTTTTTTTATTATTTTAAAAATTTATTTCATGGCTTTTTTTACAACAAAAAAAACCTGATTTATAGCCAATTTTTTTAAAAAATATAATAAACTGAAAATAAAATAAAAATTGAGAACGTGAAATAAAATCAGTGACCTGCAGGCCCGACCCTAAGCCCGGCCGGACCGTATTTTAATTTTTTTAAATTCTGAAATTTTGAAAAAAAAAAATCCGGGCCAGGCAGAAAATTTTTTTAAAAAAAAAACCAAACCGGTCCGGGCGGTACAAATGTTACCTCTGTAGGTCTCTGAATAAAATATTAATTGAATTGAAACTAGATGTCTGCAATTCCCGGCATCCAATTCATATAACGCATATTAAATTTTATTGAGAATCCTGCTCAAAAGTACCCGGATAGAAAAAAACGGTAACCAGATAAAAAAAAACAAATTTGAATAAAAAATAAAAGCTTAGAAAAGGGCGGAAGGTTTTTAAGAAATTATTCATTTCTTCCACACAGAGATTCGAATCTAAACAAAAAAAATACTAGGCTAATGATAGGTGCACTGTTTTTAGATAAATTTCTATAACACCGTGCATGTTATGGGGTAATTTTATTTACGAGGCTATAAAACAAAACGCGTTTTAATGAAAATTATTTGTAGTTTGGTAAATAATTGTAATTTGGATTCTTGAGAATTCAGGAAAGTCCGTAATTTGACAAAAATTATTTTGAGTCATAATCAAATTTCTATAAACTACTATTAGAAAATTCGTTGATAGATTAGACAACTGTCAATCTAGATTGGCCAAATATCCTGGTCCCCAGTTTGACTTTATAGAAAAAGTCGTTTTTAATGGCCGCTACTTGAGAGAAATCAAATGAAGTGAAGGGTCTGCTGTTCGATTCTTACAATCGATCCCCTTCGCAAACTTTTTGCCAGGACTATTTCTTAAGTTAGCACGAAGGGATATGCTATTTAAAAAAAAAGGTGTAATAAAATTTAACAGTTGAAATAAAAAAAAAATTAAATTTATTATGAATAGTTAAAAGCAAGTGTAATGGATTAGAGCTAGTAATGAGTCAGAAATCTCCTGAACAAAATTTCCCGGACATAGAGACACTGGAAATATCCCCAAACAAAAGATATCGAAAATATCCTTGGGCAAAAATATACCAGACAAAAAGGTCCAAATTTTATTAATTTTTTTAAATGTGTAGAAAAATGAAAAAGTTTTAAAAAATTATTAATTTGTTGCACACATGATTCATTTTTTAATAAAAAAATATTTCATTAATGATAATTGGCAGCCACTGTTTATATTTTTATAAAAAACCATGCTTATATGTAGAGCACTGAGAAAATATTTAGATCTTGGCTAAATGTATTGTTACGCGTTGCAAGGCATGATGTGCTAGTAATCTAAGCACAAACCTAGTTTAGCAGAAATTTTTAATTTTATTAGACACCATCCGCTACATGAAAAATTTAACAGATACTTGAAGCTGCTGAGCAACGCATGCATGCCAGAAAGTTTATTTTAGTTCTTGCCGAACTATGAGGTTCTGGTTAAGGCCTGATACCAAACTGCATCGCATTAAACTTAAGGTTATGCAACAAAAAGAAGGGTTATTATTGTATATATTAAATGTAGTGATGTTAAAAGTTACTTTTGAAACATAACTAGTTACAGTTACTAGTTACAGTTACTAGTTACAGTTACTAGTTACATTGGCAAAAACATAACTAGTTACAGTTACTAGTTACATTTTTACAAAAGTAACTAGTTATTAGTTACAGTTATTTTCAAAAGTAACTAGTTACTTACTTTATACATCCTTCATATGCGCATTATTTATTTATTGAATGCATTTATTTAATATAAAAAAAATTAGGATAAACAAAGTATAATCAGTTATTTAAAATAATATACAATTTATTTATATAAAAAAATATCGCATATTGAATATTTACATCGAATATAAAAATATATATTTGCATTGAAAAAAAAAACATTTATTTTTCATAAAAATTAGAATCTAATAAATGTTTATTTGCTTTTAACAACAAATTAATTTTAAGGTTATTATCTAGGAGACGTGCTCGTTTATCTCCAAAAATGAGCTTACCTAGACTGAATAAGCGCTCTACGGGAGCACTTGATGTTAGAACAACATTATATTTAATAAAGAGTAATTTTAACTTTGGAAAATCGTTATATAAAGAAGAAGTGTTGTTATTAGATTTGATAAAGTTTTCTATAAGTTCATTATCCAGAATATTTTGGCGCTTTAGGTCAAAAAATCCAACTACATCAAGTGATGTTGGTTTTGAGCATGATTCATCCGTCTGGGATTCACTTTGAGGTATTAAGGTATTTATTAAATTTAAAATTTCCTCCTTTTTTGCTTTATTCCTTTCTTGCCTAATCCAAGGCCAGTCATTTTAAATAAAGGGTGAAGAATTGCAGCAATGATGTTGTCATTATCATAAAGATTATTAAACCTATAACATGATATTATTAATTTATAAATAATTATTTGATTTTAGTTACCTTTTTTCAATATTAGCTAATATAGTATCCTTTAGAGGTTCACAATATTTTAATCCCTGCACATCTGCCATATATATAAGTATTTGTGTTATTGTTGGGAACAATCAGACATTTTCACAAAATTTTAAATTAATAAATTTAATTTAAAAAATAAATTTAATTTAAAATTAATTTATCACAACATATTAAAAATAAAATTAATTATTTGAATATATCTTTAAAAGTAACTAGTTACTTTTGGCAGTTACATTTCAAAATTTTTAACTAGTTACAGTTACTAGTTACAATTTTAAAAATATAACTAGTTACAGTTATTTTTTAGCCAAAATGGTAACTACTTGTGGATAGCATTAGCTCTTAGGTTAAGACTATGTAACAAAGGGGTTAATGTTTATAGTTTATATTATGTGATAATTTTATTAGATACCAAACCCATTAAACTCCTTAAAATTTAATAGATTAGAGCCGTGTAGAACATGTGATTTTTTAAAAAAAATTTCCCTTTCTGAGCATTTAATAATTAAAATTTTGTCAAATAAATCGAAGTCTTTTTTGCTAATAAAGAGGACGACAGAGACTATTTTGACATTTTCTAAGTGTCTTTTTGTCAGGGGCTGTCCGGGGTATTTTTAACCGAGTCTTTTTGTCCAGAACATTAAGTCCAGGATTTATTAGAGCTAGAGGCTAAGGTGAAGGCAGTACCTATTTGGAAACTATTTTTCTGAAGCAAATTCTCGCCAGCAGTTAGCACATGGTTACTGGTTACAGATGGCAGTAATCCAGATATTAAAAAGCCCCTTTAAAATAAATTTAGTCATTATTCACTTCAGTAGATTACCAGATTATCATAAATTTCACACTTCAAATATTTGATTTTTTTGCTTTATGGTCTGATAACTTCAAACCATAATATTGAGAATCCAGAACATTTGGCGCGTAATTATTTTTTAACAATATAACTTTTATTTATTAACAAATTTTTGAACACTTATCAAATCATTTTTATTAAAAATAGAAGTTGATGAATTCAATTTATCTTTTACTTCCCAAAATATTTCCTGTAAGTCAGATAATACCGCTGACTAACTCTAAAAATAATACTATAATAAATAGATTCCAATTGTCTAAATCCCAGTATCCTTCTTAGTTATATATATTTAGGCCATGCGGCACAGCCTAATAATTATTTTTGCCTTAATAAAACTTAGGCCTTTTTTATTTTTTTTTGAATTTAGGTTACTAGTGAGATAAATGTTTTCACTATGAATTTCTTTAATTGCTTTGATTAGCTCAAATGCTATATAACCACTAGTCTGAGCATGTGCTTATAAATTAAAAAAAATGGATTCTGAAGTCATAGAGAGAGAAATCATTAGCATCTAATTTGTTATTTATAATATTCATGACCTTATTGTATTCAAAATCTAAGCTTTGATAATTGTGTATCTTTATGAAATTTAATAGCCTGTACACATTTTAAACTGTTAAAATATTTATTTTCTACCAATTGAAATGACAAATTTTACGATAGTGCCAAAGCACTAATATATTGATTTTCTTGAGTGATAACAAAATTTTTAAGCTTGATACATTATTAAAATGATTGGTATTTTACTAATACCATTTGCATCAGCCGGCCTCGATTTTTTTTAAATAATTTTTTCGGCCCGGTCCTGTGTGGATCCTATTTTATCAGGTCCTGTCCGAATATTTTCTAAATATATTATAATATTTATTTTTAAATTTTGTAGTTAATAATGACGATTTAAAATATACGGCCCGGCCCGGATATTTATAAATATTTGTAGTCCCAGCTTTTATATATTTAAAAAAATTAAAATACGGCTCGGCCCGGTACCCCGACCGAACTTTAAGCCAGGACTGCAGGTCTCTGATACGTATAACATTCATTATCAGTGAAACCATTATCATGAATCTATTGGAAATAAATAGTAATGTAAAGGTAGGGAAACTTCTCGGACAATACAAAATTTGACGTTATTTCCCGGGAAATTTTCTTACATCAATAAACCTGATGTATAGACTCAAACCTAGTTGGGGTCATTTGGTCCTACAAATTATTCACAGAAAAACTTAAATTTTGAAGAAGAAAAATGAAATAATTTTTGGAAATCCATAAACCTAATGAAAAGGAATAAAATGGGATGATTTATTTATAACATCGTATATTTAATTCTAAAGGTTTGTTAAGGTTCGACAAGTCTCCGGTCTCCTACAATGTTTGTATTGCATTTATCGATTATATTAATCAATTAGAAAAACGATTTTCCACAACTTTAATTTTCCAAAACTAATTTTGTACATTTTCCATGAAACTTTTTTGATTTCGAGAAACCATTTCAGCCAAAATTAAAACCTTTATTCTAAATATAATCCATCAATAGCTAGCTGCAAGTTTTTTTATTAACTGAGCTTCTGCTAGGGGGGGGGGGGGTAGAAAATGCTTAATTAAATTTTGCAAAGAGTTATATAAATTTGAAACAATTTTATTTACCCCCCCCCCCTTCTCCGCAATAATTTAATAAATAAAAGATGCACCCATTTTTAATAATTTTGTTTATTTTATGTTGGACCAGGGGTGCCCGCAAAATATTTGCCAGCAGAGTCGAGTTTTTAAAATATATATTCCAAAAAAAAGTAGTATAAATTTTGGTCAAATAATTCGAAATTATTTATAAAATTTTCATTGTTTTAAAAAATATATAAATTTGCCAGCCAGAATAAACTAAATTTTTTTAAAATTATCTAACATATAAAACAAAATTAATATTACATATAGCATTTTAAATAAAAAGAAATTATAATAATATAGGTTTGAATAAATCGAAATATACTATATTAATAATATAAATTCTTTCGAAAAGTGCGGTTTGCTCATAAAGTCCAGTCTCCCTTAGTTTTTTTTAATATATTATTATTCAATATATAAATACAATTTTTAAAATATTTAATTCATTTACATTTTTGAAAATCTTGCGCATTACAAGATCTGCTGTGGTATTTATAGAAATAGAATATATTTTAAAATAAATATTACTTTAAAAAAAACTTAATGGGAAGAAAATAAATTAGTCGCATTTTTTTTTGTATAGTAGAAAACACAACTGTAAACCAATCTAACACTAGTAGAAGAAGATTGGCCTCCGTTTTCAATAAATAATGTAAAATTATAATAACTGATACATAAGAAATTCATGAATAAAATAAATGGAGTTGAATAGAATATGTCTAAAAAATATTATTTAATAAATTTATACTATGACCAATTTATCTCCTGAGATATAATATTATCATTATAGATTATAATTTAATTTAATTTTCATTTCTAAAATAGTTTTTAATTTTGTTCATATGTAACGAAGGATATCAAAAATTAATAAAATATTGGTAGAGTCAACGTGAAAGGGGAGGTAGGAGACATTTGTTCCAATCTTTAGAAGGGGATATAGTGCAGGCATCAAAAGTGGGATAGGGTAGAGGGGCCATGTCGTGTTTGGAAGTTTTAGTATAAATAATAGTTAGATAAATATATTCAATATAAATCTAATAATACCTTTTAAAGATATCACTTCTAAGGATATGACTTTATTATTTCCAAATACAAATCCAAAATGAAAATCGAATCAAAAAATTTATAAAAATTACGAGTTTATATATAAAAAAAAAGATGTGCAAAAAAAAACATTTTATATGCAAAATTACAATTATCTATAGTATTATTCGTACATTTAAGTTCAAAAAAAAAATTGTTTATGCAAAATTTAAAATAAACAATAATATTCTCCGTACATTCTAGTTCATTAAGGATAACTTTAATATTCATCTTTCATTTAAATATTCAAATCATATCATAAAAATAATACACTTTTTTTAATAACTTTAACACCTTCGCACTTCTACTTGATTCTACCCCTCATAAACTGCTCCCTTGTCCTACCATAGGTTCTTCCTCCTGTACCGCTAACGTGTTGTTGTTTGTGCTAATCGTGGGACATCTCCATAAAATATGATCCCCTCCACAAAACCAGCAAGACATTCTTCTTCGAGATCCCCACTCCCGTTCTCTTCTACGATTGTACGACCTGCCTGTGGGTCTATCTACCGTCATCTCTCCATACCTGATCTGGGCCTCCTCTCTGGCGGCATCTATCCATCTTCTCGATTCGGCTGATCCATCAACCATCCTAATCTCGATCTTCAAAATAAAGTTTCCTACTCGCACGTATTACGACATCTCACGGACTTAAGCTAAAAATATACTATATTTATCATTTATTTATCTCCTATAATTCATCTGCCTCCTAATTCTCAATACTCATAATCATTCTCGTATTACCTATGCCTCTCTCATTCTTTTTTTTATCAAATTGTTCATACCTTCAGCTGATCTATTCTACTAGTGTACTTCATTCCTAAACATTCTGATTATCATCATTCTCGCAGACTTGTTAAAAGGAACCAATCAATTATGCCTATCAGCATTCTCCACATTCTGATTCTCATGATTCTCGCAGACTTGTTAAAAAACAAATCAATTATGTCTATCAGCATTCTCTACATTCTGATTCTCATAATTCTCGCAGACTTGTTAAAAGGAACAAATCAATTATGTCTATCAGCATTCTCAACATTCTGATTCTCATAACTCTCGCAGACTTTTTAAAAAACAAATCAATTATGTCTATCAGCATTCTCAACATCTCAGCAATTTAATCGATTCACAACGCCATTTATTACTAACCTAGACACCTAGGTCTTAATTGCTTAATATGCCTCGAAACTACTCCTATTCTTCCTTCAATTTCTACTTCTACCTTCTTTCTTCCTATATTCTTCTTCACTATACCCTTCCCCCATTTAACTGGTCCATCAAAGTAGTATCCAAACTAGGCTTCCGATCTTAAATCTGTCATTAATTATAACTTTTTTCTGTTCTATTCTTTCTTTCAGAAAATCTAATTCAGTTCTAGTTTTTCTATCTAAAAATATCTCTGCTGGTGAGTATCCTTTGCTTCTCTTGGTATTGTTGTACGCTAATAGTAATAACCAC